CGGACATCCAGATATAGGCGATTATTGGCCAAATGTCTTCTTGCAAAGATGTCAGCCAAAAAGAAGATAACGATGCTGTTCTCATCCCTTTTTAAACCCTGTGTTGGTTTACTTCCCTTGATTGTCAGGATGGGGTGTATAGTATTCTTAGCTTTCTCTCATATAAATTGTCTGTGATTGTTTTTCATTAGATTTCTGAGAGCAGTGGCGTACAGATGGCTTGTCCGATGGATATGTGGATATTTGGGATGGGACAATACAAGACCTCTTCCAGCATGCGTTTATCATGACATCCGCCAAAAATTCCAGTCCGCCCAAGTACATGGATACCAGTCTGCAGAACAGCGCAACTAGCACTAACTTATAACATTAGACAACTGTGCAATATGTAAAATAGATTTATTGGGAATTTTGTAATTTTTATTGTCAGTTTTCCTTCTGTAATTTTATATTTGACAGGTCGGTTATTGTTGTTTAATTTATTGATATTACAAGCTGGAACTCATGAGTTTTTAACATTGTGATTTTATGAAAGTATTTGTAACTTACATATGAACAATTCAGTGTAGGATTTCAAACAAGAACTTATCTATCTGCGGTTTGTTATACTACTAAGAGGTGTTGTGAATTTTAAAAATACATTTTTGTATTCAATGATCAGTGTATTGAATTATTTACTGCAACAAGTAATAAATAATTATTGTAGACAAATGAGAAATGCAAAAAGATGTGTAAAATGCAGGGAAAGATTGAAAACTTAATTCATTATTGAATTGTATCATGACCATTGTAAAATCACTTCATTGTCTAATTACTGTTGGTTTGATTTACAGGCTTGGTCATCATGGTCCTTCACTGGCTGCCCACATTTACGACATTTGTGCGGCTGTCTTTTTCTTTTACTTGTGGGCTGAGCTGTGTTTGAGCTTGCTTGCAGGGCATCTTGCTCTTCAGCTATTCGATATAAAACAAAATCGATGTGGAATTTTATTTTACTTACTGAAATAAGAATCAATGTCCTTATGACAGCAATGTATACAAAGATACACCTCCAGAGTTCCTGTAACATTCCAAAGTTTTTCTTGAGCAACAAATTTATGTGTTAACAATGACTGCAAAAAAACTCACTTTTGGATTACACCAAGAGAAATGGGTGAAAAAGTTAAAATCTGACAGAGTGCTGGAGCTTTACCTGGAG